TATATATATATATATATATATATATATATATATGTGTATGTATCAGTTTACATATATGTATACCGTGTGTGTTGTGTGTTTTGCATACTGTTTTCTTTCATAAATAAGACATCTGATTGATTGATTAAGTTTCAGTTTAAACATCACATAATTTCTTAAATTAAAATATTACAAGGTGGTTCGGGCAGCTGTAAGGATGCTTCTTGGGCGCCTCCCTAGCAAGGTGTTTCAGGCATGTCCAACTGGGAGGAGACCCCGGAGAAGACCCAGGACACACTAGAGACACTATGTATCTCAGTGGGCCTGAGAATTCCTTGGAGTCCTTCCAGAAGATCGGGAGGAGGTGGCTGTGAAAAGAGATGTCTGGACCTCCCTGCTAAAGTTGCTGCCCCTGAGACCAGACTTGAGAACAAGTGGAAGATAATGGATGGATGGCTGGATGGATGGATGGATGGAAGGATGGATGGATGGATGGATGGAAAATATTACAAACTGGTCATATTACCTCAGATGTTTTTTGGTTGCTTTAAAATAAGAAATATGCAGATTTACCTAAATACCACTGCTTTTTGTAAATAAGGTTAAATGAGGGACAGTGCCTTCATCACTCCTTCCTCCCCAGCCTCGTTCCATTTCTACTCCCACCTCTAACCCACACCCCAAGGCCAGAAACACCCGTCCCTGGGTCCCTAAAGGCCCACCAGCCTCCATTTGGAAGTCATTAAATAGTTTGATTCTTCTAACTTTTGTACATAATCTGTACTTTTTTACCATCAGCCTTAATGTGATCGTGTGCTGACAACATAATTATAAAAATAATTGATTGTTGTTGTTTTGGGGGTTTTTTGTGATGCGAATTGTACTGAGACAAATTATCAACAAAGCAAGTAGAACTCTGAATGGTTTTATTAATTTATCCTTTGTTTTTTACTTTAACAGTCCATGAACATGACAAAAGCAAAATTCTTTTTACAAATCTTCATCGTCGAAGAACAAAAATACAAATAAAAAAAGGAAGACAAATAAGAACAGAAGCGTAAAATCCTTATACAATAAACAAAAAAACACCGTTCAGAATTGGACCAGAAATAGGCAAACATTTTTAATTTGAAATAAAAAAACAGACAAACTTTGTGGTTCTCTCCTTTGGTTTCATAAAACGTTACTGGAAGAGACTTGCATTATTTCCACTCCTTCCTGCTGGGAGTCTCATTTTTCCCTAATCGTGGGGCACTCAGTAAAAACCTGCTACATGTCTGTTGAGTGCTACATCCACTGGAGTTGACCAAGTCATGAAACAAAAAAAAACATTTATATCGGTGTGCAAATATGCCCAGCCCTGCTCGCTCCACACTCTTAGTCCACTCATAAATAATCTGTTAAATGCACTGAGTAAAAAGCCACATAGCTTAAAGTTTAAGGCTTTTTAAATATAAAACTGTTATGACATCTTTTGTTATGGCAGAACATGTTTAGGTTTTTATTGTCTTAAGCAGAAGCAAAATCCAGTGAGAGCTGTTCACCTCTCTGCTGAAAAAAAAAAAAACACCGTTTACAGCAAAATATTAAAAACCATTTGTCAAAAAATGTGGACAATGTGTTCTGCAACGCTCGTGCATTCACACCGTGCACTTTACATTCTCTTTAGCATGCACTGCACCTCGGCTTCAACGCAAGCAAAGCAGCAGAATCAACAACACGTGCATGGTAAGATAGAGGAAGAGTAAAATATTATTAACCTGAACAGTTTTTTTTTTTTTTTTTTTTAATAACCGGCATGCTCAAAACCTAAAAATAAAAGTAACACAAAACACAACCGCAATTCTAAAAATGTTGGGACGTCGTGACATGTAAAAAATAAATAAATAAATTGAATGCAGAAGTTTGCAAATCTCATATACTCATATTTTATTCACAAGAGAACATAGTTAACATGTCAAATGTTTAAACCAAGAAATTGTAGTTTGTTTGTTTTTTAATTTAAGGTAGTTTTACATTTATGGAGACAAACCTGTTGGGATGTGGCAACAGAAGACTGTGTTATGAAAAAGAATAAAATAAAAGTGAAGCGCCATGTGTTGTCATCATTGTGTGTTTCCATGCAAGGGCCAAATTGGTTCTCTGCATTTAACCCATCGCACCTGAGAAGCACCCAGGTGGAGCAGTGGGCAGCTATGTAGGCGCCCAGGGAGCAATTAGAGATTGGGCGTCTTGCTCAGAGACACCATGACATATGGGAATAGCTGGGGATTGAACCTGGGACATTCGGTTCCCAGGTTGGCTGCCCTACCTCTACCTCATCTCAGGCCCCAACAAACAGCTGGAGGAGCATTCTGCAGCTAATTAGGTGATTTGGCAACAGGTCAGTAAATGGACTGGGTATGAAAAGAGCATTTTAGAAAGGCTGAACCTCTTCGACGTGAAGGTGAGCAGAGGTTCACCAGTCTGAGAAAAACTATGTCTAAAACTGGTGGAACAATTTCAAATCAATGTTCCTCCGTGTAACTTGGGGAGACCTTGAATATCCCATCATATACAGCTCAAAACATCATCAAAATATTTTAAGAATCTGGTAAATCTCAAAGGACATTGCTAAGATCTCTATTACGGCATCTACTGTATTTTTTGGACTATAAGGCGCACTTAAAATCCTTTGTCTCCAAAATTGACAGTGAGCCTTATAATCCGGTGCGCCTTACAGTCCGAAAAATACGGTAGATGCCGTGATCTTCGGGCTCCCAGGGGCCATCTGGACGTCACTGCCTGGACTCGGGAACACTTCCACTAATCTTTGTCTGTAGAGTTCACCATGCTGTGCACAAATGCTGGTTAAAGCTCTATCGTGCAAAGAAGCCATGCATGTACTGTCAGGGGAATTTAGGTAAAGGTTTATGGATGTTTATCACTAACTAATGTTAAATTAACGTTGAGGTCAGAGAGTCTGTTGTCTGCTCAGAGAGGAGCCTGCAGGCGCACCTGATAACTCCTAGGACTTCTCCGAGTCTGTAAGCCGGTAAGCCGAGGTCATCTTGACCTTGTCTGATAAGTGTGTGTTATAAAACACTTCCTGCCTCACTGTCCGGGGCAGATATTCATGACGGGGAACTGAGCATGTAACTTCGCCTGTTGTGAACTCTGCGTTTGCAAGTAAAAGACTGATTAAAATTCTTCTTGTGTCCTCAAAGTGGCTTATTTGTGTAAATAGATAATAATAGGACATTTATTTCTCTAACATGCACAATATCCAGAAGCACTGCTTTCTTTTTGGGGCCAAAGCTCTGATAAAAATAAAAAACTGTTCTGTGGTCAGATGAATCAAAATCTGAAACGCCATGTCCACTGTACTGAAGAGGACCACAGCTCTGAAGCCTGCCTCGCTGATGGTATGGGTGTGTATTAGTGCTTCTGGCACAGCGACTGACTCCATCAATGCTAAAAGTTTCAACGGGTTTAAGAACATAGACCTCCGTGCAGCGAAGAAGACTCAGGACTGTTGAACAGCTGGAAATCTACTTTAGACGAGAATGAAACAACAGTTCCCTCCAAAAATAATTAAACTTTAAACGTGATGTGTTTTCTGTGTTCTATCGTGTTGTAAATATGAGTTCAGGAGTTTGGCAAATCACTGTTCTAAGTTGTGATTTACATTTTTTCACGACCTCCCAACTTTTTTCTGAATCGTCTGTAAAATATGTCTGAAAGCGCCGTTTGTGCACAATAATAAAATAACAATTAATAATGCCCCTTACACTGACTTTCTCCTCAAACGGGGGAGCTCCTGAAAACTGTGTCCAGGTGAGAGCGTGCTCCCAGGCGAGGACAGTCCGGTGTTGTCCCTCGGCGAGCAGCTCTGGATCTTATAAGACACAGAGTTGTAGTAAACCGAATTGACGTGGCAGCCGTGGTGGTCACCGCGGCTCACAAGAGGGCTGTCACAAACCTCCGAGCGGTAGCACACGCAGGAGGAGCAGAGCGAGCTGAGGCTGGACTCCTGCCTCCGTCTGTCCGTCTTGACCTGAAAGTGCAGCCTGTGCTTGCAGGGACTCCTTCGCCCCTCTGGATCCTCTGCTGGGGAGGCGATGAGGTTGGTGCGGCTCGTTCCTTCTTGCATGGGGAGAAAAAGCGTGCTGTGGCTGTGCACCATGTTGGCCCGCTCCTTGTGGTTGTCTCTGTGCTGGTCCCCCACAACACGCAGGCCCAGAGCCCCCTCCAAGAGGCCCCTGTCCCTCTTCAGCGAAGCTCTCTCTTGAGCGTCTCGCCTCTCGTCCTCTGTGTTCATGGTGAGAAAACGGAGCACTACCAAATTGAGAAACGCCCCAATGACGGTCAGCCCCACCAGGATGTACATGAAGCTGAAAGCCACGTAGGGGGTCTTTTTCTGCAGGTCCTCCTTCTTCTGCAGGGCCACAAAGTCTCCAAAGCCAATAGTGGTGAGTGTGATGAAGCAGTAGTAGTAAGCGTGGAAGAAGCTCCATCCTTCAAAGTGGGAAAAGGCCGCAGCTCCCACACACAGAGTGCCGAGGCAGGACAGGAAGCCCACCAGGACCATGTTCTCCATGGACACCTCGGTGCGGCGGAAGCCCAGACACTGCTTGATCTTGTGCAGGAGGTAGCGGACGAACGTGTTCATCCTTTCACCCAGGCTCTGGAACATCACCAAAGTGAGAGGAATGCCAAGAACGGCGTAGAACATGCAGAAAACCTTTCCTGCGTCCGTTCCCGGAGCAGCGTGTCCGTAGCCTGAATGCAGACAGAAACAGAGATGGGACATGAAGCACCTGGAGTTCTGTAAAGGAATACACACTGCCCGTCATCTTTTACATCCAAGTGTTAAACTAAAGGAATCATAATGATGGGATTTGTTTTGGTCTAACATTGTGAATGATGTTATGCACAATCTCATATGATGTTGAAAAATTTCCCCAAACATGTGTTGAGGAGACTCTCAGCTACTACCTCATTATTATGTAATTATGATGTAATCTGTGATGTTTAATTGGAGATTTGTCACTTTATCTGTGCTGCTGATTATCCATGCTGCTGATTACTTGCCAATATAAGGTTATAGTCATCTGCTCACTACAGACTCATGTTCAGGCTGCTGTTTAATACACTGCATTATATTACATTATTAGTGTTTAATGTTTATCTTAGATCCTTATATACTGTTTATTTTTATACTTTATATTTTTGTTATTTTTGGATGTAACTGGGACCAGGTGTACACAATTTCGTTCCACCTCATGTACCACATGTGATGCAAATGACAATAAAGAAACTTGAACCTTGAACTTTAGCTTAATATCTGTAAATCTGACTAAGTTATAACCATTTTTGTGTTGGCTAAACCTGATTAGCTGTAGTGGCCATCTTGAACTGGAATGACTCTGAAAGTGAATCAGTTGAAGATTGTAAATCTAATTTTTGTTTCTTCATATCTGATAAATGGATAAATATGGATAAATATCTGCTAAACCTGCAGTGGAAGTGGTCTCCAGCTACAAGTACTTGGATGTGCACCTGAATGACAACCTCAGCTGGAGCAACAACACCACCAGTCTGATCAAGAAAGTTCATCAGAGACTCTACTTCCTCAGGCGGCTGAGACGAGCTGGTCTGGGAAGCTCAGTCCTCACCTCCTTCTACAGGTGTGCAGTGGAGAGCATCCTGTGCTCCAGCATCAACGTGTGGCATGGAGGCTGCACAGCTGCAGAAAGAAAAGCTTTGCAGAGAGTGGTGAAAGCTGCACAGAAGATGTTGGAGTCAGTCTCCCCACCATCACAGACATCTACACCTCTAGATGCAGGAAGAGGGCCACCAGCATCATGAAGGACCCCACTCACCCAGCATACACACTTTTTGCCACGCTCCCCTCAGGAAGGAGGTTGAGGAGCATTAAGTGTAGAACCACTAGACTGAGGAACAGCTTCTACCCTGAAGCTGTTAGACTCATGAATCTCTAACCAGAATAATCACTGTGAAAAAAAATCACATCATGTTGCTGCTGATCTGTTTCATGTTGCTGCTGATCTGTTTCATGATGCTGCTGATCTGTTTCATGTTGCTGCTGATCTGTTTCATGTTGATGTGTTCATGCCTGCTCATCTGCTCACACAGACTCATGCTCATGTTTATGCTGCTGTTCGATGTAATGTTTTTAATGCTATTAGTGTATTTTTAGTTAATGTTTTTCTTAGTTCATATCTTAGATGTTATTACTGTTTTTCTTTTACATTTTATTGTTGGATGTAACTGGGACCCCGTGTACATAATTTCGCTCCACCACATGTACCACATGAGGTGCGAATGACAATAAAGAAACTCTGACTCTGACTGAATGGTTCATGAGGTGTCTTTTCATGCGATTCCAAAAGTCCACATCAAAGTCTGTCAGTTCTCGGAGTATGTGTTGAGGATGACTCTCAGATACTACCACATCTGGTTTTACCTCACTATCTGTCAAATGGACTGAATTATATTTTTGTGTTGGCTAAAGCTGCGCAGCTGTGGCAAACATCTGCAGGTCCAAAAGTTAATCAGTTGTACAGCGACTTCTTACTTTCTGAGAGTTTTACTAAAATCCGTCTAATGTGAGATATTGTGATGACACGACAAAGCAACACACTCACAGAGAGACGAGGGGAAACATTATCGCCCTTTCACCTTAGAGGGCGGGCGATCACACACACTGTAATGAGTAATAATTTAATGTAAAATGATGAAAACGCTGTGAAATCATCAGAAACCTCACCGATGGTGGTGATGACTGTTATGGCGAAATAAAAGGAGCCTGCGAATTTCCACTGCCTCCCGGCGCGGTGCGGCTCAGCCTGCAGCACCACGCGCTCGATCTCGCGGTAGTCGTCCTCGGAGAAGCGGTACTTCTTCTTCATGTCGCTGCGCTTCTGCTCCAGCACGCGCCGGCGCGAGCTCTCCGACTCGGACTCGAGCGCGTCGAAGACGGCGGCTCCGACCAGCAGGTAGGAGAACATGCAGAGGATGAGCGACAGCGTGCGCACGTTCTGCTTCTTCATCATGAGCCGAGGCGTCGGCATGGGGAAAGTCTCGAGCCGAGGCGCAGTTACAGGTGGTGGCAGCCCCCCCACCGGCCCCCCAGGGATTCTTATCCTCTTGGAGCTTTAGCGCAGACGCCACATGGATGCTGCAGCCTGTTGCTTCCAACAAATCAAACCCTCTCACGCGCTTCTCGTTTGGAGCTGCGGTAGAACGCGCTCTACTCTGGATGCCTGCTTA